TTTATTTTCAATCCTACAAGGGATACTTTTCTTTCTCTTCTGACAAATACATATTTTTGATTGCTGTTTCAATGAGCAGTAAATATGATGGACTACAGACAGAACTTTGCTCAGATAGGTATATGGTAATGTATATTCACACAAACACATACATATATTATCAGTAGAATTGATGATGCAAATAGGCACATTGTAGAAATCAATTTAAATGAATATGTCAGTAAACTAGAAATATATCTAATATACATATTTCCATGTATATTCCCCCATACATTTTTTATGGAAACACATTAAGAATCATTTACTGAATGGCACTTGAATAAGTCGTTTTATACATTGGATCACTTTCAGAATAGTAGTTAGATTAACTTCTGTCCATGTCTTGTTATTCTGTTTAATCTATCAGCCTCCATACTTAATTCTTAAGGTGGCTATTGCATCTGCAAATCTTATTTACAAGTGTTCATCATAGTATCTATGTATGTCCATACCTAACAGAAATTGCCCACAAGAGAGTTACATTTGTTCATTAAAACATTGATGTCTATATATTAGCTAATGTTAGACAAATTTAGGATGAGTGCTGGGATGTAGTCGGGCAGGACTTGAGAAAATTGTTTTCTCCAGTAAACATTGATATACAATACTGCAAAAATGACCTAGGATAAAATTTGGTATAAAACTTCCAAAAATTTCCACAGAACATTTTCCATCTTTTTAGAATTTTCATATTTTAAAACCAAATAAACAAAACATTTAGTATATGGAACATCTCTAGTGAAAACTTCTTTCTGGAGTAGATGCTGTATACTAAGGCACCTTGTAGTGCAAGGAGTAACTAAACAGAATCTGGAAAATGTGATTAAGGCAGAAAAGAAAACAAAATATCTAGAAGGTATTCACAAAGATTAACTAAATTCACTTTTCACAGAATAATAGCAGTGAAGAAAAAGGGAAGTTCAGTGGGTGGATTATATTTGACATTCTGTATTTCAAATAAAACAAATAAAAATGGTTAATGCTGAAGAAGTCCCCAGTGAAAGAGATGCTTTAAGGAAACTCCCTATTGATTAGAATTACATTTCCGTGTATGCAAACACAGAAGGTAGGTGACTTTTTGACTCCAGGTTTATAACTACAACAAATGAAAGAACACATCACGAAAATAATCATAATCAAACACATGCCAGTGTTGACTTGGGTTATGTGTTACAGTTTGCTTTCAAACCATACCTTGTTAATAAAATATGACATCTTGCACTAGAGTTTTATCTCTGAAAAGTACTACAGAAGAACAAGGGCATAAATATACTCATCATTACTTTTTAAGGTGCAAGGAGAAAAATCACTTTGTGGCCAAAATTCTATTTAGTAGAATTTTTACCTCAATTGAGAACTAATTTTCTGAAATGCTGACATAATCAGATTTAACCAGGTAGTCTTAAAAGCTGTTCATTCTCCTTTCAGTAAAATTATAATGGCTTGTTATAAAGTATCATAACAAAATACTCCAAATGACAAACTACTATTGACCCTATGAGTTATCAGTCAGAAAATGAATAAGAGAAAGCAGAGAATATGTGGCAGAAACAGCTATGATTTATGCCAGTGCTGTTATAATCATATCACAGTACAAATTTTTTATGAATAACTCAGTTTAATACTTTGTGTACTCATATTTATCATAGGTCTGTGCAGACACAGAAACAATGTTTTTATCTAATTATGATGTTTGACTTGAAATACATTTAGCACAGATGACAGTTTTTAACCACTAATTTCAATTTACATAGTTAAATATTATTTAAGGATTAAATGACAGCAAAGCAGGAAACAAGCCTACACAGGGTTGTAAGGTTTTTCTGGAAATCATAAATATAATCAGAGTCATTACCCCCTATACACTTGTTCATGAAGACTGGGGGGGAGTTTGGTGTGGTTGGGGTTTATAAAATTGTGAAATTTTAACTGCAATTTGTCAGGGCATGCTGGACATAATTTATTCACTTACTTGAAATGTGAGGGAAGAAAGAATTTAAATATTGTTGCACTGCTTCAATAAATGGAACATTTGAATATCTGAATAACTGTTAAAATAATGAGTTAAAGAACTTGGCTTCCTTAATTTTAGTTTATTAGTAATTATGCACTTATAAAGACAATTCACAGTCAATTCATTAGTAATTAAGAAAGAGAATTTAAAATACCATGAGCACAGTGTTAAGTATAAGATTGGCATTGTCTGAAGATTTACTGATGGTACCATTGCAACAAAATATTAGACAGGACTTCTTAGAAACTATTTTGTTTCCAAAACATGAAAATGTTATAAATAAATAAGAATTTTTACAAATCAGCAGATTTCTCCTCCAGGTACTTGTTAAGACTTTCTGTGAATTTATTAAAATATCTTTTATCTGCAGGGTTATTCTCTGAGTTATCTTGAGAGAAATACAGAATGAACAGTTAAAACTGACACTGAAGTCTGAAGTCTATGAAATACGGCTTTAAGTTAATCTTTACCCAAAAAGGAGTGATTGAATTTGGTATGATCAGCAGCAAAATAACAGAAGAGAATGTGTACAGGAGGAGGATCACTAAAATGATCAGGGGGTTGGAGCATCTCTGTCATGAAAGCACGCTGAAAGAGTGGAGGCTGTTGAACCTGGAGAAGAGAAGGCTCCAGGGAGATCTTACTGCTGCTTTTCAGTACTTAAAGGAGGCTTATTTATATAAACATGGAGAAAGAGCTTCTACCAAGGCCTACAGTGACAGGACAAGGGACAATATTTTTAAAGTAGAAGAAGGTAGAGTTCAGATTGTACAGAAGAAAAAAATCTTATATGATCAGGGTGGTAAGACAGTGGAACGGAGTGCCCCATGGAGCTGTAGGTACCCTGTGATTGGAACTGAAAAGATAGTTGTTTGTATTGATTTTTCAAGTACAAATTGCAAGAAAATCCTAGAATTTATAAAGAATTATATGTAGATATCGTTTTCATGAATGGTATGTCATTTTAAATACTGTTTTTGTCTTTAATATTGTGTATGTTAATTTACAGGACACTTGCTAGGACTTTTGTATACCCTTAATTTAGAAATGTTAATGCAAATGTAAATACTACTAAGATATGAATGATATAATTAAAATTTTATTTGCATTTTCCTTGTCCTGAAAAGTAGTTTCCATTTTTCATTGTTTTTTCACTTTGTTTTTTTGGAAAACAAATTTCACTTCATATGAACTTCATAAGGCAGAAAATAACATTTTTAGCTTAAGTGACTATACAGGTCTAGTTTGCATTTCAGATATATATGAGATTAGCAATATTGTTGAAGAACATTGCCAGCATAGACACAATTTACATTTGTCATCATCAAAATAATATCTGAATACATTTTTGGCTAAGAGCACTACAATCTTCATCTTTCCATAAACTGATGGAGACTGGGTAATGTTTTCCCTATTTGAGAACCCACTAAAACGTGGTTGACACACTTAAATTTCAGACATTTCACCTTATGGCTTATTTGACAATTTTAATTGCAACAGTCACTTGGCAACAGATTATGTTGCTTTCTATTGTATTGTTTCTTTTCTAATGCAATTGCCATCCTTATCTCACACTGCCTAATGCCTGATTACCTAACAAAACAATGTCCTTTTTTTTATTCATGGTGTAATGCTTTATTCTAACATACAATATCGTACATATAATACAAGAAGTAATGGGTTCAAAATGAAAAGGTACATTTAGTTTAGATATACAAAAGAAATTCTTTACTATACTTTTACATATATATATGTGTGTGTGTGTGTATATATATATATATATATATATATATATATAGGAGGGTGGGGCAAAACCACATTTTTTTTACTGAGCTACTGCATTTTAATTCTGTTGTACTGATATTTTAGTGTTATACCTTCTAAACTGATGTCATGTTTCATTGATGAATTTTACAAGACTATTTCCGTAACAAAAAGAAGGTTACATAAATGTTTGAATTTAAAATACATCACTTTATGCAAACAAACAGAATGGAGTGGGAAGAATAAAACAGCTTGGGTTAGTGTAATAATGAGGTGGGAAGGATTGACTTAAGATAGAGCATAGGAACAAATTCTGGAGTCAAAAGGGCATTTTCAGCAATTGGTGGTGGCAATGTTGCAGCATCTCAAAGAAAAATAGGTACTGAAGAGAAGGAGAACTCAGAAGAAAGATTTCACCTTTTCACTCAGAAGAAAGATTTTACCATTAACAGCAGTGTCAAATAGTAGCAGTAAAGCCTGAACACATTTTAGGATTCACCAGCAATTAGTGCAAAAGTAAACATATGCCATACTCGGGGTCTCAAGGATTTTACTGAGACTTGGACATGTGATAATACAATATGGAAATTGATTCTACACTATTTGCTTGATAAAGCAGACTCATCAGTTCTACTGAGTTTTTTTTTAAGCTGACAGGAAAAGCTTATGGGTGAGACATATAGCTAGACTATGGTTGATTTTTCTTTCTACAGATGCCTGAACAATAATAGCTAAAATATAAATTGGCAATTGTGAAATTGCTGTAATAGCATACATTCCTTCCCATGAAACAAGAGAAGAAAATGGAAGATTACTTTTAAATTCACAGATGAGACTGAAACCAAGAAAATTATCTTTTCTCAAAATCAAGGACATACCAGCAAAACAAACCATCAAGCTGAATCAGTGTGGGCTTTCATGTGAAATTAAAGAATAAAGACCTGATGCTTGTTTCAGATTGGTATCAGTATTGATTTTTCTATAACAAGCAAATAACAGAATATTATTTCTCACATAATTAGAAATCAGTCCTGAATTTAAACTAAAGCAGGAGAGATTTGATAAGAGATAATCTGTTTCAATAACAAAGAGAAGGACATTTTAAGGATGTACCATTTATCTCAAAATATTAGAAATACGAGGCATAATAACCGTGTGAAGGAAAAATTTCTTAGAACTTTACCTTTGTGGCAGCATCAAAACAGACAAAGCCCATGCTGAAGTCGATGGTAAGTCCCATAAGATGACTCTCTAAAACACAGGCATACGTCTTGCACTGTAAAAGGAAAATCAGAGGGGATAGTTACCACAGAAGACATTTCTTAAATGTTTTTCTAGGACCACTGTTTCTGAGTCTTTATTCTAATGTTTATATACCTGAAAATCATTATCAGAAATAAATAATTTGTATGTAAATATGTCAACTTTTTGTACTTCAAATAAAAGGATTTTTATCAGTAATGAAGTTGTCTAAGACATGTGAAAACAGGCTTTGCTTCCATTAGGAAAAAAAAAATGAAAGGCTTAGAATTGCCTCAGTGGCTTACTAATAACATTCTCTAAAATAAAAAAAAATATTATTTTCAAACCTCCTTATTTGATTTTTCATTCCAAAACTTTTAAAATTAATACATTCCTTTTATCTTTTCAAGGAAAAAAAAAAAAGCAAATACAAAATATTTCTATAGTACACTGTTTCTTGTGGTTTTCTGTTGTCCTAAATCTCAGGGAAAAACTAGTATTTCATGCCATTTAGCAACTAATGGAATTACTTGAATATTTTTTTTTCTTCAGATAGTGGACTAATATATCTTAAAGGTTTCTATGAGAAACCTTGGAATTCTGAAAGACTCTATCATTCTACTGTTTTTAAATATATGCTTCTATTTATTTCCATAACATCACACTTGAATACACATTGTGAGACATTTATAAGTGTAATTTTTAGCATCAAAACTACTGCTGTGCTTGAAGGCTGACTTCAGGTACAAAATGACAGGCTTGTCTTTTTCATCACAAAATACATTAAAAAATCAAAACATTTCCAAATCAGATGCAAGTTTTTTAAAGAATTGATTCTAATTTTATAGACATTTTGCCCTCCAGATTAAATGAAATACAGATATACTCATCAAATATTGCTGTAGCTGCTAAAATTATGAAATGAGAACAAAGACTTCCATGACCTATAATGTGTCAGCAAAATCAAAATATAAATTGCAAATGTGGGAACAATGTGAGTTACAAATTATAAGTACTACAAAAGAACCTATGATTATTTTTGGAATTTTCATTATAAAGATAAATCAGATGCCGTTACTTATATATTCTTTGGGGGGGCTTTTTGGATTCTTAATGGCCTTCCTTAGTACACAAGAATCTGGAAGGTGCATTAACAGCTTCTAAATAGAAAATACAATAAAGGAAAATTGAAAACTTCATACTTAATGTTTATATTACAAATAAAAGTGGCTTTTTCTTTTTTTTCCCCTTTGATCAGCTATACCATGAGACTGTTATGAATGTGTAAAATTTGATTCTAAACCAGTACTGAAAAAGAAGAGAATATTGCCTTTGGTACTATCTCATTAGTAGAAGAAAAAAGTGTAAAGTAATATATTTCAGTTACTTACAGTTAATTAAGTCACATATGAAAAAAATTTCAAGTTTTGCATGCAAAGCACAAAATGTATGGTTTTATGGGATTATCTTGCAAACATCTTACAAGATGCAAATTACATTTTTGTTTGTAAGCATTCATTACCTGCAGCAGACTTAGAGCCTTTACTGGAAATTAAATTTGGCAAGGAAAATGTGTATCCGATTTAAAATACATATTGTCATCTGAAGTTTTCTAACCTCCCACCCCAACACCAGAGGCCAGCCTACAGTGTGCACTGCAGCACCAAGCTGAGCTAGTACAGCTTCCTCTGCTTTTAAACCCAGAGCTTGGACTGACTAATTAGCCTCACTGGGAACTTAAGATTTATGAGAAACAGGACATACCAGCCATGGTTCAAGGCTGTACTGAAAAAGCAACCTACTTCCAAGACTGAAGGGTATTTATACAAAAGGCAGCAAACAGTTTGTGGAGAAATATCATCTAGTTCAGCTAAGTGTAGTTCTTTGCAGGAAGAAACTGCAGATCACTAGTAGCAGCTGATTTAGTTATTCTTTACTTATATAAAAGACTGTTCTATGCCCTCAGACTATGATGGCCAAAACAATTAAAAGAAAAAAAGTAAAAATAACAAAAAGATCTCTGGACAGTGAGAATTTAGTTTCCTCGGGAAAGAATATCCCTTGGTTTTTGCAGGTGTTGTATCCACTTGTACATGATTGTGGTGACAGATCAGAGTAGGGATATGAACTTTCAGACACTAGATAACTCTTGTATGACTTTTCTCATCTTTATTTTCTTTAAGTTGCCTTTTAATTCAGATTTGGAAAAAACAGAAAGACAAAAATTGTTATCAAGGTACAAGATAATTTAAAATTTCTTATCCATTTAACATTTTAAAACTTTAGAAGTGACTATGAATAATATATATTGTGGATATTTGGCTTTGGTTGCTGATTTCTCACAAGAACTCATGAAAACCTCATCAGAACTGAGAAATTCCTTTCCCAAAAGAACACACTTCAGCAGTCATTTGCTGTTCTTCCACAGAATACAGAATGTTAACTTTGGTTTATTAATAATTCAATGGGTCAGGCAGAGGCTGAAGGAGACAACTCGAAGTTCTTCCTTAGAAACTATTCCCTCAACAAGCACAGTTTAAATTATGGAAAGAACAATATATTGTGAACTTCATGTATGCTATCTCTGAAGCTGAAACAGAAAGCTGAAAGTGAACTATAAATCTAAGGCTTAATTCAGACTTCTAAACTCATATTCAACATCAATGAAAAAATAAGTTAAAATACTCCAACATAAAACAGCTTACATAAAAAACCTTACATTAGAAAACAAACAACTACAATACAAGCAAGGACAGCAAGAAAAAAATTCATTGTGCAAGAGGTGAAAATATTAGCTTAAAGTAGCAGGAACACAAAGGGAATGTGACAGGCATATATATATATAATTGCACATCATTGCAAAATTTTCAGATTCTTTGTGCAACAATGAGAGAGTAAGGAAAAGGGATTTTCATTTCAAGTAATTTTTTTTATAGGTAATTATGAAAATGGATTACCACTTACTACATTACAAAACTAAATAAAAAGTGACAGTAACACTCCAAAATGACACCACTGTATCATTGCACCATGTTATTGCTAAATTATTATGAATTTTACTATGCCTCCTCTAATATATTTATTTTCTAAGAAAAACCAAATTTTAATTTTTGGTTTAGATATACCTCTAGCAGAAGCTATGAATTAGGTTGAAATAGAATTCATTATATATTTATAGTAATGCATTTAAAAAAAAATTTGAATTTGTTATATATTTTTGGAGTTAGATTAGGATTGGCTCCTGATTAACCTCTTATAGAGGTTATAGCAATTGAGTAAGGATTACTATTTACATGATTATGGAATAGCACACAACACTGTTGAATAATTTTCAATGGTAGCTTTAAACTGAAGTTACATTTTCAAAATTATATTATTTTATTGTAAGACAAACCTACTGGGTTACCATTTACTTTATATATGAGTACTCATATCAACATTAACCAAAATTTTAGTAAAAGTGCACAGTTGATACCTTAATTTTGAATCTATCACCTTTTTTTTCTCACAGAGCAATGAAAGAACTAGTTGGAAACAAATTATACTGCCAGATTTTATCTGCATCTGCAAGTTGGTAGATGAAAGCAGTAATGGTTTGCTAAAGAAAAATGAGGAGGCCAAACCCAGTTATATGAAAAATATTCTACATTTTTTTCCAAGAAAATAAAGAAAAAAGGTAGAATAAGAAGTGTGATTTCCACAATAATATTCTATCATGAGAAGCCAGTTTGTTCACTTTCACAGGTCAGATATAATCAATCAATCAATCAACCAATCAATCAGGAAATCATTACTTTGAATTCTTAATTGCTACATTGAACATTAGGAGAGACAAAAAAAAAAAAAAAAAAAAATTAATAAAAAAAAAAAAAAAAAAAAAAGGTGAAAAGATTAGGATGAATCTGAGGTTAGGATTATAAAGGAAATTATTTTGGAGAAGCCTGAAGGCAATTTTGAATAAATGTAATTCTAAAACCCAAAAGAAAATCTAAACCAGGAATGCTACAGTATGAATCAATCTGAAAGTAGAACAAATATGAGGTGGCTTCTGAGATAAAAATTATTCAAGAAAAATGCCACATATTCTTTTACTGATAGAACAGCAGTACTACTATAAAATATGTTGCAGAGAATTATATAAGACAAAAACTCTCGAATATTTAGTGGCAGAGGACATACATTATTGCAAGTTTTACACAAAAAACCTAGTCTTAAGATTTTCCAGCATGCAAGTACATCTTAAAAGAATAGCTTCTATAAACTGTAACAGCCTGCATGAATTTAAAAGAGGAAAGCTGAACCTCCCCTGACTCCTCTTGCAACAAAGGTACTGTGTGTTAAAACTGACAGCAGGGTAGTTTTTGCATATTGGATCTTCATTAGTATATACCAATTCAGTCCATCTGCATGTGGTGGTTTGCAGGTCAAAAAAGGGCTAATATATAACTAACTAACTCTTTGTCTGAATAAAAACATGCCACTGCCTGCATTCCCAGGAGGACACAGAAAATATGTGAGCCAATACTTGCACAGGCAAATATGCTAATATGGCTTGGGTAGGTGTGTATAACTCCTGCCAACATCAACTAAAGCTGTTCTAACTACATGTATATTTCATGATTAGAAAATCAATATTACAGTTGGGATTACGTGAATTACAATTGTGGTGGGTGGCTTTTTTCTTCTTTTTAAAGTAAAAAAGTAATGACTTTTTGGTCATGTGAGAAAAAGTTATCTTTAATCACTCTGATATGTAATTTTGCTACAAAAAGTCACGAGTAATCTGCATTTGAATGTCATCCATCTCTGCGCTGTTACCTGACAATAGAGTAAATACACAAGAAACAGGAAAATGTGGAGAAAGAATAATGTGCCTGAGGTACAAGTTTTGCTCTTGCTTGTATCCACTAAGTACTTCACTCAGTATACTCTCATTCCTGGTATTACAAGGACTACTTAATTCCTTCATGTTTCTCTTGTGATATTCAGTAACAAATAAGGCAGCATGTAAGCCAGTAAGAATGTCTAAAAAGCTGCATTTTGTCCCTGATCCATAGATTGTTTTTCCACGTCTGTCCATGAACTTCAATCAACAAATATGTATCACGTTGTCATAATAACTAAAACACTGTATTCCAGGTGACCTCTTCTGAAGGCTAGATTGCAAGCTGTTTTGGAACAGCAAAAGCAATTATTTACATAAAAGAGTAATAATTTGAGAGCTGCAGAAGGTCATAAAATTTCTTAAATTCCATGACTATTTCATATGGGCCTAATTTGTTAATGTATCAAAAGATGATCAACAAGGCAGTTGTTCTCACCTGTATCCGTTCAACTTCTAAAAAAGTTGCTGTTTGAAAGGCTTTTTCCCATAGTGTTAGGTCACATTCTAGTTCCACAGAAAAGTAAAGATCTTCTCCAGATTCAGACTGGACACTGAAGCAATGTTTCCGACGGTCCAGTAGATCACTGTCCTGATGAAAACCTGAAGTTATATAATCTGGCATACATCAATTAATATTTTTAATTGCAAACATTTATGTGTCAAACCCAGCATTTTTAAATGGCATTTTAAATGACATGAATAACCACAGTTGCTGAGGCACTAAAAATCAGGGGTTTGTTCTAAATATTGACACTTCAATGAATTGTAAAAAGTATGCCTATATTCAGAATGGTACAGAACAGCGTATCTCAGGCAGTAACTTTAAATATTTTAACAAATCACTTCTCAAAAATGTTATCAGCTATACACATTTAGATTAGATACATTCTGTGAAAGTTTTCAACTTTCTATTCACATGAGGAACACAAATATCAGCTTCTCTGACCTATTTGACTTCTACACCCAACCCTAAGGTTGAACAAAGGAATATATTTATTTTAAGAAATATGAAAAGTCCATATGTTCTGTTTTCTTTACAGAGGCTAGGAAAAAAAAAGTTCATATTTCTGAAGGGTGACAAAATCCAACATACAATTAGTCTTTAAATGGATACTGATGGTAGAGACTATAGTGGTTGCCCATGGTTAGATTGCTGGCTTTGGCCCTGGAGGACACAATTATTTCTGGCTTTGCTTTCAATATAACATCACATAATGGACATCAGGTTATAAATATTTAATAATTAGTGATTGCTAGTATTTGTAATTGGTACTAAACCAAAGAATAAGCAAGTTAATAATGAAATCCATTCATTAAAATGTTTTCAATTAATTTTTGAAATTTATTTATAAAGGATGCTTTATTCTGGCATGTAATTTGTTCTTGTGAAAAATAGGTTTGCAGAAACAGGTTTAATTAATTTAGTCCCTGCTAATCAAAGAAGTTGCCACAAGTCACAAGCTCACCATCTGTCCTTGCCAATACATCTGGAGATTTGGGTATAAGTAGCCTGCATGCAATTTTCACAAAGCTACCCCATAGCAAAGGGCAGAGGTAAGTTCAGCAAAGGAGACTCAGGGGACTGTATTGCCTTCTGGTTATACACAACTTGAATAGACCAAGGGGAGCACACCCAGCTGATACAAGCTGGAAGAGCAGCTTACATTGTTCAAGTCAGCTCTCCCTGGGGCAGAGAACCAGGGACCTAAAGCTGATTGAGAACAAAATATATAAAACAGGAACCTGTCTGAAACTGTCACTCTCAGGTATACAAGTAGGCAAGGGGAGAGCAAACATTACTTTCTCCTTTCCATTCATTCAGTAGAAATGTGACCAACTTGTTCAAGAAAGCCAGTACAGCATGCATTCATGAATGCTTCTGGATGAAATGTGATTTACAATTACTAGAATTGTCTATCCTCTCTTGTCAATCACCAGGAAAAAATAAGTTCCTATGATTTCAAAATGACTAGTCACTGTGGAAAAATCTCCTTTCTTACTTCCATCAAGTGCTAAGCTTAGTAGCGGTACAGTGTTTAGTCATGTATGAAAAAATTAGCATGAACATGTTTGATCTTAAGACATCATTTCAAAAAACAAAAAAAAGAATCTTGTTCCAAATGTTCACAAGGATGTGTAGTTAAATCAGTTAGGTGTAGCTAAATAATAGTCTATGTCCTACCAGAAACACCTTTTGTCTTTTTTTTTTTTTTTCTCTTCCCCCCTCACCCCCACCTTTTTTTTTTCCTTTTCATTCAGGTCTTTCTACTAAAACTGAAGTGTCAATTCTGTACACAGTATGTCCTGACCAGCATTAAAAATAGAGATTATAATATCCAGGTTGTTGCTAATGACATCTATGCTCCATTGCACACACAGCCTCAAAGCACACAGAGCAGCAGCACTGTGACAAATGTTTTACCTTATGAATATGTGTAGCAACAAAACACAGCATCATAGAGTGGCTTGGGCTGGAAGGGACCTTAAAGATCATCCGGCTCCAACCCCCTATGGCCATGGGCAGTGAAGCCTTTCACTTGACCAGGTTACTCAGAGCTCATCCAGTCTTGTCTTGAATGCTTCCAGGGATAATACATCCATAACTTCTCTGGGCAACTTGTTCTAGCACCTCACAAGCCCCACAGTAAAGAATTTCTTCCTAACATCTAATCTAAACCTACTCTGTCAGTTTGAAGCCATTCTGTCTTGTTTTGTCATTACACGCTCTTGAAAAAATTCCCTCTTCATCTTTCTTATAGAATCCCCTTAGATACTGAAAGGCCTCAATAAGGTCACCCCGAAGCCTTCTCTCTTCCAGGATGAACAATCTCAATTCTAGATGAGCAAAAGCACTGGAAAACTCTCACTCCTCCAGGGCAGAAAAGCTACTTCTTTTAGAAGTGGTACTTCTTGTCTAACAAATTTTAAATGGGATCTTGAACTCCCTGTGCTTCCAGAGCTAAACCTGATTGAATGGGCTGTTAGCCCACAGCCTGAAGGACTACTCAGCATGGAGTGTGGCAAGAGTCATGTGTAAGGTACATACATGTATTTCCTGGGGAAAGTTTTAGTTCTTCATAGCTATAACCATAGAAGAAACTAAAAATATTTTGAACTCATCCTTACCTATTCTTGTAAACAGTTAGTAGAGATAAGTAATTACTAGTAATGCAGACTCTTAAAGCTTTTCTGAAACATGACTATGTGGGATCACATGAATAATTTTCTTTAAAATAATTGAAGTAATAACCCTTATTTTCAAATGGGACAGAGCTTAGTGCATGGCTGAGTTCCAGAATGCATAACTTTATTTAGCTGGGTACAGCTAAGGTTTGATGCTTTTAAGTTATACTCTTAAGACTCTTCCAATCTTACAGGCTTTTTTCGCCTCCCATTGACAAGAATATGCTAAGAAAAAGAGAAGAGTTATTGCATAGACTGTGAAAAACTGTTAAAGGTTTCATTGAGACTGAGCTTTGTTAAAAAGTGCTTGAAAAATGCAAAAATATCTGTAGGCTTTGAAGTGATTTAAATAAAAACCTAGGTACTTTATTGTCAACATTGCTAGTAAGAATTGTACTAGATTTTACTAAGCATTACATCAAACCTATATGATGAAAAAAGAGCTAAATGGGATCTACAATACTTATCCAAGGTTTTGTAACTTACATATGAAAATGAGAGCATGCTTTGATTTAGGAAAGATCTAATCAGTACTAGATGGTATTTCCCCTCAGTGTTTTGCATATAAAAAGTTTAGAATATTTCATCTACTACATTATACTGTGACAAACAACACCTATAATGGACTCATTTATTACAGGAATTTCCATTCTGTGAAGTTCCTATTCAGAATGAAAAAAAAATTCAACATTCCCCAGAAATAATAATTAAACCAAATAATAATTTCAATTTGTGATTAGTTCTAATTTATATACTTGTGATTTTGATATCACAATCATGATTTTGATATCACAATCTATTATTAGGTCCAGTATAAGAGAAGTGTAAGTCAAATACATTTAAAGTATGTATTTTAGTTTTTCCAAAATTGCTAACATAGATATGAAGAATTCCTTTCCTTATTAGCAGTATTCCATCCTCCAAAAAAAGTTATGAGTAAGGTTCCCTTTAGTACTGCTTCTGCAACTTTTTCTGCAAGATCTTTCTTTAGTTTTACGTTTCTTCTCAAGCATTAAAAATCTGTATTCTAGGTTTATAGATTGTAATAATTTGTGCAATAGATAACTGAACAAATAATATGTAGGCAAAGCTAAAAGATAGCTATTCAAATGTCCTTATAAAGACAGGAATTAAAAGCTTTTTTTCTGTTGTTGTTGTTTGTTTGTTTTAAATAATCCAGCTGGGAATCGTCCAAAAGTCTGCAAATTTAGGAAAAAAAAAAACAAAAAAAAAACAAAAAACCAAAAACTGTCAGGAGTCTTAAAAATAGGTCTGGATGAAGCAGGAATCTTCATTAATTAACTTTTACCAAACCATTACTTCAACTAAAATATAAATGTCATTCTACCCATTTAAGAATCTGCTATGACCCTGTGTTATTATATTAATTTACTAGTCAATGATGGACATGAGCCAATTTCATGTTGAGTTTTTAAGAACTCTCATACTAATAATGATTAGTTGTACCGTTTGACCCTGATGTTCTTGTTGTGAATTAATAAAACTCTCTGAAGAGAAGCACACACAAAACTTTTAGCAGTATGCTAATTCTCACTAGAGGGAATGTAGTCCTGCAGAAGGATGGGCTGTGACGAGACATTGGCTCACACCCAGCTTCAGGGTAATCCAGCATCTCTGCTGACAGGACAGTATGACTCCTGCTTGCCTAATTAATAATGATATCCATGTTAAGTGAGAGTAATAAATTTGTCCATGGGAACTAAGCATGGCTCATTAGGCAGATCCTTTCAAATTAAAGCAAAATGCCTCTTTACCACTAAAAAGTGACTTCTCCTCCTCTTCTGCAGGCGTAATTACTTTTGAAACACTGCTTTTTCCAGTAGGAGCACTACTTCTTTTTCATTACTTGTGAGGTTTCATTTTGAGTATGATGAGTGCATTAAATACTCATATTTTGGCTATTATTTAAATCTGCTAAGATGCATGGGGCCCTCACCTCTTGTGATGGTCAGTGAGAGTTGAGTTCTTCTATTCTACAAAGCCCTCTGCAACAGAAAATAAACATTTGCCACTTTCATGCTCATGGCATGACTTTTCCTCAGGAGATGCTTAAGAGTTTTCTGGAAGTCTGATTTACATATAAAGTTACATGTAATATAGAGGTGGCACATACATTTTTGCCATGGAACTGTAAATGTTAGTGACACCAGTGAGCAGTTTTTGACATGAGCAACAATTCATGTGATAAGTTCAAAACCATAATACATGTAGTAGTATGGTTTTGACCATACTATTTGCAAGACTTGCAAGAAAATTATATCTCATCTATTAAAATGAGGTAAGTATTCATGTTTCTCATATTAATTATAACAGTTCTTCAAAACATATAAATGAGAAAACAATCAAAACTGTTTTCTTTATTAACTAGTTCAGACAATTCTGCCA